AACTAAAAATTGTTCAACTAATAAGATTTGATAATAAGATTTACTAATTTGTTTTAAAAAATTAAAATAATTTAATTAATTCAATATAAAAAATGTAAAAAATTATTTATATTCTGTTCTTATTCGGTTCTTGGTTTAGAACCAAGAATTGAACCAAACCTATCGATTTTCGATTTAGATACTTGTTTGGTTATTTAACTTATGAAGAACCGCTCAGTTCGGTTCGGTTCGGTTCAGGAGTTTTGTCCAGCCCTAGATATCTGTGAGAGAAATGGCACCATTCGAGGTAATTATAGTAAATAGAGAGTATGTGACTAATCAAGTTCATTCATTTGAAGATGTCTCACCTTCAGTATTGCATAAACAACTACGCTGGACTAACCTAACTCTTATCCGTATCTATACTAACCTAGGTAATTTGCCAAAGTACCTAAAGAATCTACAGAATAACCACGAATGGTGTTTAGCAACCTAGAGAAAATGTTTTCCCTATATCTAAAAGGGTTCAAAGTTTTTTCTTCTATGAGAGATTGTAGGAAGACCGAAATCTCTGCCTTCGTAAACTTCATCCATCGAAGGGATGCCGAGATTGCAATGAATGTAGTACATGTGATGCTTGGTATGGGTGCGTATATATACACAGTACACGGCAACTTTATAACTACATCTCAATACTGCATAAAATACCAAAGTATCATAGCAACGTCTTTCGTATCAAATGAAAGAACAAGAGGAGAGATTGAAGAGTATATAAAGGAGTTGCTGTTTCAACCACTGAAATTATTTTATGTCTAGATCCGATATCCAAGAGGTTACTTGTACACCAATTGTCAGCTGCTAGTTCATCATCTTTTGGATCATCAATGGTAACTAGAACTGGCAAAAATGGAGTATAGCTTTGTTATATTTATGGGTTCAAAGTCAAGGTAAATGATTGATTCTTAGTCAATTCGATTAGCTTCATCTGCTATTAGTGGTGGGACCACCCTTGATGCAAAAAATAGGCTAGGTAATGTATCTCCTACTAGCTCTACCTTGGTTACTAGGTTAATAATTGACCCGATGGTTCTTTGATTGGAACCAAAATAGATCTTGGTTGAAGTAGTGGTGCTGAGTCGACTGATGTCTCAATACTATCTAGGGAAAGATCAGATTGATCTATTTTCAAGACCTACGAGCCCTACTTACCTTAGACTTCTTTCCTCCAAGATTGAAAGGATTGCTACTTCCACTATTGTCTCCGCTGCGTGTCTCTATCTCCATTGCTGGATTGAAAGAAGAGATTGCATAGTGAAGTAAAAGGTAGCCAGCTGCTATTAATAAGAACCTAACAGAAGATCCATCTGGATCTACTATTTTATATGCTTTTTGATCAACTGTTATTGGTGCTTACTCTGGTGCTAATCATCTATCTTGATTAAAATTGGCTATGAAAGAAGGGACGAAAGCTCGATCAAAAAGAGGTCGTATTGATGACATCATCTTCCTCATTTGCCCCATCATAGATGTGTGGATTGACTTTCCCCAGTTCAATCGTCACTTTGAAGAACCTAGAATCCCAAACTGGAGCAGGTGTGTACATTTGTTGGAATGTAAAGTTAGCCATAATTATGTCATCCACTTGAGTGGGTATATGGATAGAGATCCACTCTCCATTACTCTGCCTCTGACATTTTTTCTTACTTTGGGGAGATGCAATCTTTATTCTATGGTTGTGATGTAGCGAAAGATTATAGAAAAGATGAACAACCTCACAATGATGAGGGAAAAATTACGAAAATTTTATTTTATTCAATAAACTGTGGCCTCAAAGGGCTTACAATGCTTTAAATAGTAAAATCCTAACAAAATTCAGAAAATAAATAATAAAAATAAAAAAATTATATTTTTCCATAAATGGAAAAATTCGAGCTAACAACTTAAATGGAAACTCCTAAGATTCAAGATTGTCCTCCAACAAATGGAATATGAATCCGAATTTTATTGAATGAAATATTACCAAAATAAAAATTACCATAAATGGCAAAAACACTTAATCGAGGGTCTAAACGATGGAATCTGCCCAAAATCTGACGTACGTCATGGCCAAATTCTATGAATTGTGATTATTGGCCCGTTTCCAATTGAATTAGACACACAATTCGTCAAAAACGGACAATCCCGAAGTTATCATGAAATTATTTTTTTCCTTTGCGATCTCACTTCATCATAAACTCTAACTCCTTATGCACTTCATCAGGTTGGTATTGTTAGAGACTTTGTGCGCCACAAAGGGCTATGCCCCCTTTTCACCTATATCATAATGCCAAAGCAAAGGAAAAGATCGTATACATACACTTAGCATGTGAATCTGAAGCGGTGGTTGCAATAAGAATTGAATATTATAAAGCATTCGCTTCGGAAATAATTTGATCTAATTGTGCCACAGTTGAATTTTTCTGTCAAATCGCTACATAGACACAATCCTACATAAAAAATCAACTAAGAACACATTTGATACATTGAATCAAATAGTAATAGACGTGATTAAGGGATAGGAATGTGATGAAAAATGTCGGTATTTGTATCTAATTCTCTTGGATTCCATTACACCAAAGTCAAAGGCATGGGATATTGCCTAGCGCCCGAAACAAAACAGAGCCCTCAAATTAAGGTCCGCCATTTTTTTCGTGAGCTAGCCCACCTTTTTTATGTGTAGTAAAAATAACTTTTTTAAAAGTGGAAATTACATTGAACTAGATTTTTTAAGTTACCATTTAAAAATCAAATTTAAAGTTTGTTTTTTTTAAAAATAGATGTTAATTCAATGTTTTAATATTAATAATAATATTTTAAAATTAAATTAATCTATATATCCAACCCTACCAAATTTCATTCCCGCACTCTAATTATTTTCCTCTCTCCCTCCTCTCTTCTTTTTCTTTACCATACCCAACCACCATCAGAGGCGAATGCTGCGCACGACACCGCCGACACGACCGTAATACTGTGCAAGTTGATGTAGTAGTAGCACTCACGATGCTATTGTGGAGACATGACTTTGAAAGCAGTGACGTTATCTCCGGCATCACAATGCATCAACTGGGGTGGTTTTCATAGTTTTCATACTATCGTGGTTTTCAGCAGAGGCAACGTCATCTCCGGCTCTAATTAGATTNCTAGGTAATGTATCTCCAACTAGCTCTACCTTAGTTACTGGGTTAATAATTGACCCGGTGGTTCTTTGATTGGAACCAGAATAGATCTTGGGTGAAGTGGTGGTGCGGAGTCGACTGATGTCTCTATACTATTGAGAAAAATATCAGATTGATCTATTTTCAAGACCTATGAGCCCTACTTACTTCAGACTTCTCTCCTCCAAGATTGAAAGGATTGCTACTTCCACTGTTGTCTTCGCTGCGTGTCTCTATCTCCATTGCTGGATTGAAAGAAGAGATTGCATAGTGAAGTAAAAGGTAGCCAGCTGCTATTAATAAGAACATAACAGAAGATCCATCTGGATCTACTACTTTATATGCTTTTTGATCAACTGTTATTGGTGCTTACTCTGGTGCTAATCATCTATCTTGATTAAAATTGGCTATGAAAGAATGGACGAAAGCTCGACAAAAAAAGGTAGTATTGATGACATCATCTTCCTCATCTGCCCCATCGTAGATTTGTGGTTTGGCTTTCCCCTGTTCAATCGTCACTTTGAAGAACCTAGAATCCCAAACTGGAGTAGGTGTGTACATTTGTTAGAATGTAAAGTCAGCCATAATTATGTCGTCCACTTGAGTGGGTATATTGATAGAGATCCACTCTCCATTACTCAGCCTCTGACATTTTTTTTTAGTTTGGGGAGCTGAGATCTTTATTCTGTGGTTGGTATTGCTAGAGAGTTTGTGCGCCGCAAAGGGCTATGCCCCTTTTTCACCTATATCATAATGTCAAAGCAAAGGAAAAGATCATATAGATACACTTGGCATGCGAATCGAAGCGGTGGTTGCTATAAGAATTGAATATTATAAAGCATTCGCTTCCGAAATAATTTGATCTAGTTGTGCCACAGTTGAATTTTTCTGTCCACTCGCTACATAGACACACTCCTACATAAAAAATCAACTAAGAACACATTTGATACATTGAATCAAATAGTAACATAC